TCGAATAACTAACAAGTGAAAAGCCAATTTCTTGAAAAAAGGCAGAAGAAGGTAGAAGTTTAGCCACGCATTTCATTCTTTCGATGGAAGAGAACCAACTCTTTGACATTGTTGATGCTCGAGTTACAAAGCAGGCTAAAGATGGAGAAGTAGTAATGGTTGCTACACTAGCCTATAGATGCTTGAGCTTGAGTGGAAGGAAGAGGCCGACTATTAAAGGAACGGATTCTGTCGTTGCAAAAGGATTCAAATGTTCGACATGATCAAGAAGAGATTGATTGCGTTAAAATTGACGTAACCTGTTCTTGGGATTCCGCTTCTACTTCAACAGGTTCAACTTGTAACTCTGGAAGTGCTCTTTCCATAGAATCGGAGCCACTTATTTCTAGCAAAGCAGTCATTTTAGTACGTGTGATGTTATAGCCTATTTTTGCCTATTTTTGTGTTTGAATTACTTTGTTTTTTTCTCCATTGTCTGAATTTTTTCCAAATTGAAGCGAGGTTTTTCAATTGATTTTGTTCGATGATTTCTCTAGGGAAAACTTATGAACTTTGAGATTCAGATGAAACCTTGTTTTGCATTTAGATTAAATCTTTTTTATTCTTTGAATTAACGAAATTTGAAGAACAAAAATAATAAGCAATTATTAGATAAATCATTCCTACCACATCAGTCATAAGCATGATAAATTAAAATATGGTATGTAATTTAACTTGTTACATGATCATGCATAGATTTATTAAAATATCAGAAAAAACTATCTAATAATTTTAAATTCTATAGTATTGTTTTTTTAGGACATTGTCCTAACGAGTTGATTACCAAGATTCCCCATTCCTATTATTAATTTTTTTTTCTTTTTTTCTAAGCTCACATTTTTTTGCTTTACAGTTTTCATGGTTTTTACATTATTAAATTTTGCATTATGCAATAAAAAATAAAAGTGCATGCATAATATTATCATGGTTTAGAGCAAGGATAAGCTTGATTATTTCACCAGCAAAATTTTCACATCTCCCATGCTTCATAATCTTCATTTCCCTTTTCTTTCATTGAATCAAGTTCAATGACATATAAATTAATGTAGGCAATAGTTTAATCTCTTCATGCACTCCAAAAGAAAAATGAGAAACTTGCATTGCAACCCATGGTACGTTAAAAATAATAGTGAATTATGATGTGCTACCAATATGTACTTTATAATAAGTGTTTAATGTTATGTTATAAAAACATAATTTTAAATTTTAACAACATAATCAAATAACTTAATAATAAAAATAAAATTAATATAGGAAATTTATTAAATACGTAATTTAAACTTATTGTAAAAACACTAAACAGAACATCCAATGAAGGTAAAAAATTTACTACTTTTCATATTACATAAGAATACAAATATAATTGAGGTTAAAATTTACTCATTATTGTAACAATTTTGACTAATTAATTAAAATTAAAGTGTGCAAACATGACAATTTTAAATGATATGTCAAAACGTGATTTGGGATTTGCTATAACTATATAAAACCAAAAGCAATACATGGTTGAATAAAAACATTGAGTTAAAAGTAAAAAGAGAAAACAATTGAATAAAATCATGATTTGTACTTATATATATATATATATTTATCTATCTGGTCCTTCTTTTATTCATTTATTTATAAAAAATAAATAAATATGCCCAAATAGAGATGTCAAAGGATAGAACTCCTCTTATTTTTTAAAACACCAAGAGCCCTCGGTTCAAGTCGCGGCACCGACAATCTCCCTTCTTTTTCCCTCGGCCCGCCACGTGCCGAACCCATGAGCCGTTTAGGGTATATGATAAACCTGCTACAGCATTAGGGTTTAAGGTATTTGTGCACTAAAATAGAGAAAAACACATCTAAATTATTTGCTTCATTTGCAGTATCTGAAAATCCATACAAAAAATGGGAAAAAAGAAATTCATCGACAAGAAAAAATCTGCGACGTTCCAATTGTTTGCCCGGGACTCCTCCGATCCCAATTACAGCGACTCACCCGGCAGTGACCGAGTCTTCGTCCGAGTCGACAACAACCCTGTCTTCTTCAACACCGTCTTCGACGAAGATAACCATGGCTATAACAATACTCAACACGACGACAAAGATGACTCCATATTTGCTGACGCACCCGATGACAAGGACGGCGACGGCGGCGGCGACGAGTATGATAGAGTGTTGGGAAACTCTTATTCCGCGGCCGCAATGAGAAGGCAGCGTTGCGGAGAACGTGAGGAGGGAGATTTTGGAGCTAGGGTTTCCAGATGATGGTTACAATTATTTGATTCATATGAGAGAGATTAGAAATACTGGTGGCGGCTCTGCTTTTTATCATAACCCCAAGTTCAAGCCCGACCAGCTTCCCCGTGATGTAAAGGTTAGTTCAATTTGTCAAATTTTAAAGAATTTGGAATAAATTGCTGATCAATTGATGTTTGATTAATTGTTTTTGTGTGTTTTGCTTAGGCCTATGACGCTTCGAGAGTACAAATATCGAAATCCAAAGAGGATTATAATGAGAAGTCGATTTACAGTGTTGCGTCAAAGACACTTAATGCCAGGATGCAGAGAGTGGTTGATCCTGAAGTGGCTGAACTGCTTGATGATAGTGATTTGTCGCGGTTTGGTTCGGATGTTGAGGATTTGGAGGAGGATTTTGTTGTTAGAGCAAACATGGCTGAAGATGGAGAAGGTGATGAGAGTGATAAGAAGTTGGATTTAGTTGAGGAATCTGAGGTTATTCATGAAGGTCTCAAGAGAGCTGATCCTGATTCTGGCAATCAAGAGATTGTAGATGGAGCAAGGAATCACCGAGTGGAAGAGAAGCCACGGTTCCGGCGTCTTTTGGATGAGCAATTTGATATTGTGAGTCTTGTTTAGAATAATCCATTTTGATTTTCTTTATTAGTAGAAGACTTACTTTTGATTTTAAGAACTCTGTTTCATCTAAAAGAAAATAGAACTGTCCAATTTGTCTAATTTGTTTAGTGTAGCTTGTTGAATTAGAATAATGTCTGAAGATTTTACCTTTTGCGTGCTGCCTTACTTTTAACATTGGTGTTCTGTTGTATCTCATGATTATCTGGTTATCACAGCTTGAACTTCAAGAATATGGCACTGATGATGATGAATATGGGGGGTACGCTGCTGAAGAAGAAGAATTTCTAGCAGACAAGCTAAGAAATGTTCTTAATGAAAATGATATGGATGATTTGGAGCTTGATGACAAGTATAAAGCTCCTGCTGATTTATTGCATGGTAGTGAGAGACCAAAAAGCAAAAAGCTACTGGACTCTGCTGCTGATATCATGCGTCGATGTGCTGAATATGCTGAAAAGTATGAGAATGAAAGTGAAGATGAAAATGTGGTGGTTGTGGAGGAAAGCAGTGATGAGTCAGAGGAATTTGATTGCGAGAGCATCATTTCTACGTATTCAAACCTTGATAACCACCCTGGAAAAATTGGAGCACCAGAGGTAGCTAGGAAAAAGAAGTTGGCTGAAACTGTTTCTGGGGCCTTTAGTGCCAAAACTCAAGTGATATCTCTTAGAGGAAAAGAGAAGCTCCCTGTGGATTTTTTACCTAATAGCAAAAAGGTTACTACAGAAAAAGTCAAGAGCACTGCAGGTAGCTTAAAAGCTGAACAGCTTAAGAGAAAGCAACATGGTCAGGAGACTAAGGAGGAAAAGAAGGAACGGAAGGTATTTTTTGCATATGTGCTTGAATTTGTTTAAGCCAACTTGCTTGAAGAAGTGTTGTTTGCTTTGGAAATGAGATTTAAGTATTCACATCATGTTTTGTACTCCTTCTGACTTGATGAATTATGCTTTCAGGTTGCTGTTAAAGAGGAACGGCGTGAAGCTCGGCGAATGAAGAAGGCAATGAAGGAGCTGTACCAGAGTGAAGTCCAGCAAGCACAGAAAGTTGCTGCCATAGCTGGACCATCGTCCATTCGTTTAATGTAGGTATAGTGATTAATTAAAAATATGGATGATCATGCAATTTCAAGAGTGAGAACAATGTGCTCAAGAGTTTGCCTGGAAATCCTCATTATGATTCTGGTGCCACTGTTAGGCATTCAGTATGGGCCATGTGCAGATTTTCCATTATGTTATTTGCCAGTAGTTTTGGAGTGGTAAATGGAAATGAGACTGTTCTGGTCTTCAAATGTGTTGATGAATTTCTGCATGGATCAAGCTGGTAATTATTTGTTGCATAGGTAGTAGTTTCAACTAGTAATTTTTCTTGCTTGTCCATTGATTTGATCATATGAATACTTTGAAATCTCGAAATCTTTTGGTTGTAATTTTACAGTTGTCTAGCTTCAATACCAGCAAGCTGCATGCATATAATGTATAAATTATATATAAACGGGTAAAGGGTACGGGTGCTTGATACTACTTGGACAAACACACATTCGGATAGGATATCCAAGGAATAATATTCATATCCTAGGGATAATACCCGGACCTTATTCGGGAACATATCTCAAATCCGAATATAGGCATTTGAATCCAGTGTAAATAGATCAGGAAATTTGAGTGCTTGAAAATTTAATACCCATCGCAATCCTTACGAGAGATCTAGCAGTAACATGTGTGACAGTTTGTTAAGAGAAACCCCTTTTTTCTTAGTCCTCATTGTCTGCCAATAAAAGAGCTTATTGGGTCACTAATAATTTAAAAATTTAACCTCAAAATATAGTTGTTACTTCTTAGCTTATAAAGGCTTCCAATACTGCTTTTCTTCGGGCTCAATGGATCAATCAGCTTTCTGCAAGGCCCAAACGAACAAATCTTCAATACATTTCGAAGCCCAACAATAAAAATAGGGCAACTTGGGCCCAGCCCAAAATCAATATTATTTTAATATTTCCAAATTCAAATTAAAGTGGCTGAAATAGCCGGTTATCCGATGCGCCGCGGACCACATTTATTCAATACAATCGTCGAGGCATATATAAACACAACATCAAAATCCCAAAACAAACCGTCTGTCCATTAATTTTTTTCTCCTTTCCCAATTTTGCTCTGCCAAATTGCCACCTCTTCTCTTCTCTCCCCTCAGAGGAGAGAGAAGAAGAAGAAGAAGAAGAAAAAAAAAAAAAAGCACCAAAAAATGGAAAGAAGCATATTTATTTATTTTCTTTCTTTTTTTCCCCTCTCTTGTAGATAAAAAGAAAAATTTAAAAAAACCCAAATAATCGAACTATCTGTCACTCTCTCTCCTCTTAGGGTTTCCATTTCCACCATTGCAGCTCTTTCTTCACCTTTACTGACCTTTAGTTTCACTCACATTGCATCGGGATCGGCGCATTGTTTCGAGAACTGATTCGAGTTCTTAAATTTCTCCGAATTTTTTTAGGGTTTTTGCGGGATTCTTTTTTGTATAGATCGAGGTGAGTTTATTTGGTTCATCATTTTCTTTATTCTATTGTCTTTGTGATTCTTTTTTGGCAGTGTGATTGCGATTATAGGGTTTTTTATTTTTGATCGAAAAATAAAATCTGCTTTTTTTTTTTTGAATTGCATGACCGCGAAAATTTGTTGTATATGTGCAATGTATATGATTTTCCCCTTTTTTGTGTTTAATTTTTTAATCACATTTATTGACGTTTGATTTTCATTCTCTGAAAGAAATTAATAAGAAAAAGAAAGAGTTAATAATGTACAACTTTACAAATATGATCGTTATCAAACTATAACTCCTCGAATTGCTAGCATTTATTAAAAAATAATAAATTTAATACACGTGGAATTATTTACTTATTTTTAAATAAAATTTGGCCTACTGTATGATTTTGTGTTTTACTATTGGCATAATAATATTGTGGTGATTTTAGCTGGCATTGCTTATTGTAGTGTATAGATTCGGAGCTGACCTTTTCTCTCGATGGTATGCTCACTTGGAAGTGGTAGAATGGCCGTTATGGCTAGACTTCTTGAAGCAGGAAGCATCTCGCCGGCAGGTATATTGCGACTTCTTGGTTACATTGCATGGTCAGGTTGAAATGATGTGGTCTATCTTTGTGAGTAATTTGTAGGTAGTGAAATACAACATATAGAATGGAGTGATACAAGAAAAATAATAAAAAAAATTTCTCAATTTTGTGATGCTCATTTCTTAGTTTTATCCCTTTTTCTTTTATGTATTGTCATGCTATATGAATATTTTAAAAGTAGATAAATCTATAATTTCATACTTGTATTTGTGCCATGCAATTATTCTCTCCTTTCTTTCTGAGAAGTTCTAGGTGATTATTACAGGGAAGTTAGTGGTATGTATTAATACTCCAGTCCTCCACAAAAAGAAAACCCACAACTTTTGTTGCTCAATGGATATATTACACCTTTGATCCATGTATTTGATGTTCTATGCTTCTCTCATTCCCTCTCTCGGTCTTTATTCAAGCATGTAGTGGTATATGTAAAACTCTTGATTCACTTTAAAAATAATATAGTAAAAGAAAATAAGCATGATAGGAAATTCAGTAACCACATGCTTAAACTTGACCATTTATTGCTTTCACTAGGATGATGTAGATTAATTGAGGTTTGACATTTTGAAATGAATTCAAGATGTTGGTTTAATTTACAAACAACATGATATTGACATCATCCCAACGTTTGGCAGAGGAAGTTGGCAATCAAAAATTAGCTGCTCAATACATTTACAGAGAATTACATGGAGCAGATGAGGCCAATTTAATTGATGAAGAAGGTGAAGCTTATGTGCAGATTTGTTTTCATTTTGTTGGGTATAAGGTTTAATAATGCTTCTCTTACATGAAATTATATGGTCTTATCGCAGTGATCAAAATAAATGTTCTGTTGATCTTTTATAATGGCTTGTTGATTTTTCTCTCACAGATATGCATGTCTTTGGTTTGAAGCCTATGGCTGATCCTTTGCATTTGGTAAGTTTATCTGAGCTATCAATTTTCTGTTTTAGCATTTCAGTTCTCTTTGATATCATGTTATAAAACTCTTCACAGCAAGAGTTATGTCTGTTTATGCTCTCTCTCTCTCTCTCTCTCTCTCTCTCTC